CATCACAGATCGCTTTCAGGGGCAAGTTCCCCTGGACACGTTACATGTAGGAGCTGCAAAGGTAGCAGCAAGAATAACAGAGAGGAAAATCCTCTGCTGTCACTGACATTAATGCTCTGGCTTAAGCTGGCAGTGCTGCCTCTGCCTGCTGCCGTAGGAAAGGCTGGCTTTTAAATCGGATTTTGTGCCCTTACGTCCCCACAGAGCACTTCTGATGAACTGCTCTGCTGTTCCCAGGGGCGAGGTGAAGGCTGCAATGTGCAGTCCTCTTTTTTATTTTATTTTCTCTTACTACCACAGAGGTCAGTTCTCTGAACATTGACTTCGGTTTTGGTTGCTCTCCCTACAATTATAGCCTTTATCAGACCAGATAATTTGTTAAATGAGAGATTACTTCCTTAACTAACTTAATTTGCAAAATAGTTCAGATCTTATAAAAGCTGTGTCCAGATTTGAAGTTCAGACTTTTCTTATCCATCTGCTTTTTGAATGTTTCCTGCATTGCATTGTATATCCTTTTTTTTAAATTTGACAAGTGTTGCAATGTGACAGAGGAAAACGGGTCACGGCTACATTTGACTGACAAATATAATGCAATGAGCTGGATTTTTCATTTAATTGTCTCCTTTCTGTCTGTAGCTGCTGTCCACTTGACCTCTGCATTAAGTGCGCCATGTATTTTGTTGTTGGTAACGTGCTCCTTGAGGCAGGGATCGTGCTTGTCAGGTGTATAAATCAGCAATCGCATGGGTCGTGTGCTGTAAATAACACTTGGAGAGAAGCTGCGTATGGGGAACAGGGGTGAATATGTCCAGCAGTTTATGTTTCCACTTTGTCCATGGATTCCTTTTGAGTAGAACTTGGCTTGCCCTTGGTTAGACTTTTATTAACTTAATTAAGCAATCAGCTACGTCATTTCTACACTCATAATTTTAGACTCGTGGAGGTCGCGTCAGCCTGTCGCTGGCAGGAGCAGCTCAACAGAAGTGAGCCTGATGCTGTGCAAAAACCAAACCATTTCACTGCTTGGCTTTTATGAGGGGTTACAGAGCTCCCAGGAGAAATAAACAACTGAAACCTGCTCTTAGGGATGGCGGTCGAGATCTTTTTCTCTTAAGTCTTGTGCACGTGATTTTGTGTATTTGCTTTCGTTGCCGGTAAGGCGGGCTTCCAGGAAGAGCACTGATAGCACAGCAGAGAGCAGCCAGGCTCTGTGTCGATTTTCTGCAGAGTTTGCCTGAAACTGTACAAAAAGCAGCCAGCTTTCCTGCAGGATGTGCTGCAGAGGCTGGGAACGGCTCGCAGCTTGCTTTGATGGCTGGTTGCATTGTCAAAACCACCTGGGTTCTGCTGAACAGCCTCCTGTCCTCCTGCTTTATGTTGCCTGTCCACGTCTCCCTGCCACTTTCACTTGCCCGGGCTGCGTTTCATTTCAGGCCCAAAGCAGCTGTGCTCTGCCCCGGAGGTGGTCGCCTTGTGGGGAATTGGGGGTGAGCCCCCCCGTCGTTCCTCAGAGCACCTTGAGACGCTGAGATGAAAGCAGCTGCTGTGATATTTTATCCTCCCTGCTCCCTGGAGGACCCGGTAATCGCAGGCTTGGTTTTATTCCCTTCTGATTTATCTCCCCTTTTGTTGTTGTGTTTCTGACAGATCCTCCTGACTGGGTTCCAGATGAAGTCTGCAGCTACTGCACGGCCTGCAAGGCTCCTTTCACGGTCATTCGCAGGAAGCACCACTGCAGGAGCTGTGGCAAGGTAATGACTCAGGCAGACGTGTGAGAAATGCTCAGCCGGAGAGCAGCACATTCACACATACCACAGGAACTCAGCTGCACAGCAAAACGTGTGCTCTTGCCCAAGATTTTCAAGTGACAAGTGCTTTCCTATGTCTTTTGTCAGCTGGCCAGCTTATTTAAAAACTGATGGGGGTGGGAAACTTTAACTTCTATACAGCAATTTGTCCTCTTAAAAGCAGAACTCCCTGTTGAGGCCCAGGAACCAGCACCCCGAATCTGGAGTCACTCCGGATTGCTGCTCTCTAAGCTTTCATGAACCACAGCAGCCTGCACAGGGAGGGTGCTGCAGGGCTCAGCTGCGGGGACAGCATGTCCCTTTGTTTTATTCCACGTCTTTGCAGGATGACTGGTGCACAGGGCTGCTGCTTTGCAAGTCTGGGGGGGAAGGAGAGGGAGAATAAAGCAGTCACAAGTCTTGGAAAGCCAGAAATCCCCAGTCTCATTTCACTTGCTTTCTTTCTTGCTTTTGTACAAGGTGGTAAAGAAGTTGGTTTTGATAACTTTATAGTGGACACGCAGGAGTGGGAACTCAGGGGATATCCACAAATACTCCCCTTTTCTGTCTTCCCAGGTATTCCCAGTACCCAGGAGCACAGCACATGCCATCTTCTCTCCCCTTTTCTGAAATGAGATTTGTCCCACCAGTTCTTCAGGGAACTAATGTGAGATCTCCCTCTTCTTTTTCAGATCTTCTGTTCCCGCTGTTCCTCCCACTCTGCTCCATTACCTCGCTATGGTCAGATGAAGCCTGTCCGTGTTTGCACTCACTGTTACATGTTCCACGTCACTCCTTTCTATAGTGACAAAGCTGGTATCTGACGTATTAAACTACTGGTGTGTCTGCTGGAGTCTTACATGGACTGAGATATTTGACCTAAGCCAAGACTTAACTTGAAAGAGGGACCCTGTGAGGGTGTGTAAGCTTTGACATCCATTATTATAAATTTTGTACAGTTTTTATTGCATTTTCCTAAGCTGCTAAAGGGAAGTATGAAGCGTCTGTAGCTCTAAGGCTGCAGTACAGTCTTCCATAAATCTAAAACATTAATGTTACGATGCCATATGCAGAACAAATGCACTGTGGGGAAAGAAATAGGGCTCAGAGAATTGAACGAGCATTGCTGCTTATCTGACATGCTAAGAACAGAGCAGGCGGTTACCTAGTTCATCTCAGCAAACCAGTCCCAAAGCCTGGACACTTCTGTGCTTACAATTCCAGCATGGCTGTGGATGTCAGCTCTCTCCCTCCCGTTGCTCTTTAACTTGCCCATTGCTAGGTTTTTGCTACCTATGCTAGGATTAATTAAAGCAACAATACTTCAAATCCATCTTGAATATTTATAAAGGCAAAACTTTCTTTGAGTCACGTAGGAAGCACTGGAGGTCCTGAAGCAGTCTATTTCTGTTGCCTTTCATTTACTGAGCAGAGCAATAACTCCAAGTTGTCTTTTAAAAATTGCGATTTATAACTTCTAGTTCCATATTTTGAGATTTTGGGATTATTTATAATCTGCATCATTGATGCTAAATCCTGTTAATAAAAGTATAAGACAGAGTTTTGGTTTCTATATCAACATTTAAAACTTAACTAAACAAACCGCAGAGGAAATGATTACAAATGAATGAATCAATATTAAAGTACATATTTTTGGAAGGGTTTAGCAGCAGAATTCAGTATTGTGATAAATGATTTATCCCATGCTGAGTTTTTAAAATGATTTTTAAAAGGCAAATACGTAATGATACATTGGAAAGGTCAGAGTGTTAGAGAATGGTCAGCCAGAGAAGGGTTCTTGGTGTCCACATTTGGCAGAGTAACCGTGTAAAATATTGCATACTGTTACTTCACTCATGCTAACAGCTCAGAAGATGTTTGTATTTATTTGAAACACCAGGGATTAATTTTTATTTCCACTTGGAGAGGAAAGAAATAAGATTCACATGGATTCTTGCTATGATCTTGCACAAGCTCTTTGCAGTAAGAGCTCCCTGAGCACTGAGGTTTCAAAGACGTCTGGACATGCTTTGAGCTAGCCACATTAAAAGCAAGACACTGTGTGCTGTGGTTGCAGAGGAAATGAGATCAAGAGCTCTTTGCTGTATCCTCTTTCCTGACGTGCAGAGTTACACAGTGTGTTTCAAACTGATAAATACAAAAAGAGAGATGAGGAAGTTGTTTGTGGTTTCATGCTCAAGAAAGGTCGTCATTCGAAATGATAAAGCGAAACTGGCCAGTGTGAATCATAATTTTTTTTGGTGGACATTCCCTTTGTTCAGTGGTTTTCTATTAAACGTTACGAGCCATATGAGGGTATAGCAGTCTGGCACTACTGTCATTTGGGATCACATGAAACAGCTTCACCTAGTTTATGTGTAATGCACAAGCCTTATGATGCTGTTCGTGGACAATGTCAGCTATAATGTGTTGTCCTCACCTTATTTATATTTTTGTTATTATTTCCCTGAAATTCCTTCCGTGGAATCCTTGAGTTGAAGTGTCGGCATTCACCGGAGTTTGGAAAGGCATGGGGTGGGTGTTTGGTGGGAGGTGAGTATAACGTGGTGCAAGCAATGATACTTATTCAGGCTTAAATCTCAGGCTTCACATTGCAATGATTATTGCAGTTTTATTTTTAGAAAAAAAAAAGAAATAAATAAAAACAAATTTAATGCTTCTTTTATAGGATAAAAAATACAACAAACTTCAGTTGTGAAATAAATATGCACAAAAAGTTGCTTCTGTGAAAAAAAAATCTTATTTAATGGACTGAATATTTATTCAAGCTTGTTTTTATTTTGTAAATGCTGTAATTCAGAATCATTTCCATAAATATGATATTTAAAGATCTCAGACACTATAGTTTCTTATGTAAATACAGACTCCTATTTCTCTTACTGAAAAGCACAATGACTATATCAATACTAATATACATTTGCCTCAAGGCAGACTTTCATCTTGTAATCTCTTCAGATAATTAAAATGTCAGGACTTTCTACTTCCATGTGCCGGATTGCTCTTTCATTTCTGGGTCCGTTCACACGTAGTGACAGCTGCCAGCCTGTCAAACAAACTGCCCCTAATTCTTTCTCACTTTGCCCACTTCCCAGATAACCCGAAAGAAATGAGTTTGAGTTGGGAAGTGGAAGTGGCCCGTATGGAGAGGGGGTGGCAACCCAGCGCCAGCTGGCCGAAATCTCTGCTGTCAGCAGCCACTTCACACCTTAGGCACCCTTGATCTGCCCATGTCAAAGCTGAGCGAGCTGTTCTGCGGGTGATGCAAATCCACAATGAAAATACCACTCCCTGGACCCACCGCAGCAGCTCTTGGGCAGGGTCAATGCCCAGCGCTGATCCATTCTGCTCCTACGTGAGATGGAGCTGGTGTAGGGGTCGAGGTTTTTTATCTTTTTATTTTTCCCAGGGGATTTAATGCCTGTCTATGGGATACCATTTCACTGAAGGAAAAACCCTTCTGCAGCTCTGTGACATTAGGGTGTTAGCTTCAGTGGTGCAACGTCAGGAAAATTTGATGGGAAGCCTGCACGCAAGTTGAATTGCAGTTGAATTAACACACGTAATATTTATGGGCAAATAACGCTGCCTTGGGGTGTTTATGAATAAACGAACAGCAGCACTTTATCCCAAAGGGCCTTTTCAATGAAATTCACATCGCTTCAGTCAGGAGTGGGGGAAACCACAGCAATGCACTGTAGCTCCCCATTCCTTTCAGGGAGGGACAGGGGCTAACAAGGTAAGAGCGACGTTGCTGGAGGTGGCATTAATTCACCTGGTGCTGCCTGCCAGCTTCCCTCTGCCTCCAGGCTGTTTTCAGAGCAAGTTCACAAGAAATGGTGAAATGAGCCCTTCTGGCTCTGTGCGAGTGGCACGGTGCTTCCTGCTGCCAAGGCTTGTGCGGGGAGGTGGGATGTCGGTGCTCCCTCTGCAACAAAAGGAGCTTCAGCAAAATCTCTGCTGTCAGAGATCGTGCATGTGCAGGAGACTGAAAAATAGTGAAAATACTGAAGAGGTTATAGGGCGGCTGAGTGAGGAGGAAGCTGGGTGGAAGGGATGGGTAAGAAAAATGATTTCTGAATAAAAATGATTTCTGAATCATTTTTCTGAATCATTTTTCCCAGTTTAAACTGGGAGTAAGCAGGGGGAAAGCTCTGTGTGTGCTTGGACACCAAGGGGGGACACGGAGGGTTGGATTTGGAAGAGGTGGAAGCAGGAGATCTGACTGCAGGAAAATGGAAACACGGCCACAGCAAAATCGCTCCTGGGAGCCGGAGGAAAACACCAGCCTTCTCAGCGCCTCGTCCCCAGCTGAACTCCCTGTCAGTTTATGCAAAGTCAAAGCTGCTGGGTCTGCATCCTCTGGTTTCCTCGGCAACCCCGATAGCATCTCTTCCGCGAGCGCCAAGACTGCAGCACTCCCTGCCCGCGCAGGCACAGAGCCTTCTGCTTTCTGCTTCGTCAGAGCGATCGTGAGCGCCCGAACGTCTTCATTTGGAGCCGTGAGCACGACTGCTGCAGGGCCAGCTGCTTGCTAGGAGCTCCCTTTGAGACAGACAATTTAAATAACAATTTACTGAGTTGCGTTTATTAGGCTTGTCTGAAAGAAATCCCCTCCGCGGACAGCCTTTAGAGCATTTTGGGGGTCCTTCTGCTATTTTCCCCTTCTCTCTTTCCCCCTCACCCAACTTTTCAGATTTTGCTCTGTGGAAACCAGACCCCTCGTGATACTTCACAGTCAGCAAAATATCAGGGGCTGTACTACACAATTTGAAGAGCTTTCAGCTCCATCTCTTGCTCATCTCCCCCCTCACGTTCCCAGGCGCAGGCTCACCTCAGACCCTCATTCGGTGTCCTTGCACTGGCGACAGCATCGGGCTGCAGGAGCCCTGCCTGGGTTTTGGACCAGCGTTGTCCTGTAGCACTCGGAGCCCTGCAGTGCTCCTTTGCTTGGCAGGGGAGGAAGGAGAGACCTTAAAACTCATGTGGGGCTCTGATCTTCCCTCCCGGCTCACTCGGCGGTATGAAGTTGATTTGTTTCCTTCTGCCCAGCATTGCTCTGCAAGCAGCATCCGAGGCCTTGCTCCCAGGGCTCTGACCGAGCTCATCCCAGCAGAGAAAAGTCCTTGGAGCCTGAGGTGACGCAGCCACCGGCAGCCTCCAGCCCTCTCCCTGCAGTAGGGCAGGTGGGTGTTTGAGGTGACTGCTTCCTAGGATACATTTCAGATGTCAGCAGGGCCCAGTTTTCAGGCTGTAGCTGGAATTAGGCCGTAGTAGTTGTCAGCGTGGGGGACGAGGCCTTGAAGAAATAGTCCTGAAGAGAGCGAGGGCCGAGCCCTGCCGTGTGGTGGTGTCCTGTGAGGTGGGTTCAGCCCCCACAGGCAGCTGAGCACCACCAGCCTCTGGCTCCCTGTCCCCAGTGGGATGGGGAAGGGAATTGGGAAGGTCCAAACATGAGATGGGAGGTGCCTGAGGTGAAGGCAGTTTACCAGGGGCAGCAGAAGCAGGAAAATGCTACACAGCTGTGCTGCTGCAAGGAGCCTTTCTCTGTCATGGTTACTCATCGCATTGTGATAGCTATTTTTTTTTTCTCTTTAAAGGAATAATATTGGAGTTAGACTCAAAACTGAGTCTTGGGGGAAATACTTCTGTACTTCTTTCCCCTAACCAGTGTTTGAAACGACTTACTGCTGTGCCCTCACCTTAAAGGCAGGCTGTTGTCAGCAGCCTTTCCCAAATATTCCCACCCTATATTAACAGAAATACCTGTCCTTGGCAGGTGGAGGGGGGCAGACAGAGGCTGCTGTCTTTTTGCTTGTGGATTATAGTTTTGATTTTTCTCTGCTTGCTGCAATGAGAAATACATCAACAACAACCAACGTGAGCGATGGGGCTAATGCCTGTGTGGGTAATTAGCTGGTGAACTCTCTGATGCTGATCACTGGATTATTATTTTTTTTAATTCACTATTAGAGGGCTTCCAAAAAGTGTGGTGGTGCAGCCATGCGTCTGAGGATGGAGGCAGGAGGTGCCATGGTGGGCTCAGGTGAAGCCCTGCTTGTGCTACTGCTGCAGGTGGGTGATCTCCATCCTGCAGGAGAGGCAGGAAAGAAGGAGTTTGTTAAACTGTACTCGGACAGTAAATACTGCGGGAACCTAAAATCCATTCCCCGTGCCTGTGCTGGGCAGCAGGGGGATGCAGGGCTGCAGGACGTAGGCCATGGCTGCAGTGTGGTAGCTGCGGCCTGGAGGTCTTGGCATTAACACTGCCCCTTCCCACCTCAGCCCCTAACAGCGATGTCCATCCCTGTCAGCGATGGACCCGCTGCTGGGCTGTGACCTGCAGCCCTCACCTCGCACCCAGCAGCTTCCAGGGGCTGATTCTGCTTTGTGTATTTTCTCTTCTGGTGCCTCCGAGTACCTTTAAGTCCCAGTACCGCATCCCAAAGTCATCTTCCAGCAAAGCAAGCGTTTCAGATGGAAAAGCAGAGCTTTCCTTTCCAAGTCCTTGAGCCGAATTGTTTCTCCCCCTCTGGTGGCTCGGCAGCTCGGGGGGAGGCAGTGCTTTCAGGAGGGAGCTGCTTCGCCTGCTGCTGTGACGCTCCTGGAGCTTCCCCATTTCACCCCGGACTGGGGGTCCCGCTGTCCCCTTGCTAGCCTGGCCTGAGTGTGGCTGTGGGGTCTGGTGCCTGCCCCGGTGCCCCTGAGCCCCCTGTACCCCAGTGCTGCTCCTGCATCGCTGCTCGTGTGAGAAATCAGTAACATCTCCAGTGCCCCACGGCCCAGCAGTGCCTCTGAGCTGCAGCATGAGGCCCTTTGGGGAGGATGCAATTCCCCGGGTGGGATAAAAGCAGCAAAAATTGCCATTTCTAACCTCTCCGGGACAAGTCACAGCCCACGCTCGTCCCCTCTCCCCATTCCCTGCTGCCACCATCCCGTTCCCCAGTCCCCGGCCGCCTCACCCCGTTGTGGGGCTGGAAATGGCTGGTTTGTCCCTAAAAATAGCAGCTGGTGACGGAGCGCGGCAGCGGCGGGGCTGGTGTGACACCGTGTGGCGGCTGTTGAGGATGTTGAGATGGATAGCATGGGCCTCCTCGGAATTAGGGCTTTCCGAGGCCTCCCCTGCTGCTTGTTTGCTAATTGGCACTGATGAGCATCCCCTAAATTTCTGGGCGTCCCGTCGGATGTGCCGCATGGCATGGGGCACGGCTGCTGCTCCGGGAGCATCCTGGCATTGGGCACAATGTGTGGGACCACGGCACCGACCACAAAACCCAGTGAGCAGCTGGCAGCCAGGCTGCCCCAGGCTCATGCTGTGAAACACCTCGGCTCTTCCCTGCCCACCCCTTGGAAATCTCCCCGGCCCCTTGCCTTGAGGCCTCCCCGTGGGTTTGCAAACTCGGAGAACATTTTTTTTTTTTCTTCCTTCGGAGCTGAGCTCTCCTTGCCAAGAAGGCTTTAATAACTCACCGTGAAATTTATAGCCTTTAAATTTAAACCACACGTGGGAAAGTGGAGCTGTACGAGTTTAATCCGATGTAACCTTGAGCGAGCCGTTCCGCTGAGCCCTCTGCAGGGCAGCAGGCAGCGGCTGCCTCACCAGGTCTGTGCCCTCTCCGAGGCACAGGGGACCAGGCTGCTCAGCTACATCCCTGTCATCAGACTTCAGACTTCTCCTTCCTGATGGTCTGTCCCTGTGAAACATCAAGAACCTGATGCAGCTCAGAGTTGGGGCGTACCCAGGAGGAGGCTAAGGATTATCTTTTAAAATCCCAGTCACATTCCCCCTCCTTCCCTGTTCCCATCACCGAGCAAGGCACATCTCACTGCTGTCCCTCCCTGGGGACGCCATCTGCTGGGGATGTCCCTGGGACCCTGCAAGGACAGGAGGTGGGCAGGACTCAATGCGATGGATGGCACCGAGCACTTCATGAGGCTTTGAGAGTTTTTCAGGTGTCCCTTGGCAGCCAGCACAGCACTAAGGCTGTGTCACTGGTGAAGCAAAGCAACATGCACAGAGCTCCAACCATCGCCTGCACGTCTGCTGAATATTAGGGGCTGTGGTAGGGCCTCAGAGACCCCCACAGCCCAGTGGTGGTAAAAGTGGCTTAAAACTCAGCTAAGAGCTTAAAATTGGGTTCTTTTGAACACAATGCCCAGGAGACCACCACCACCACCAGAGAACCCCTTGCAGATCTTCAGAAGTCACCTGGGCAAGGTCCTGGGTACCCTGCTCTGCATGAACCTATTTGATCAGGGAGGTTGGACCAGGTGCTTTCCAGAGGTTGCTGCCAACCCCACTGTTCTGATTGTCATCTAGCTCAGAAATAAAGAAATAAGACAGGTTTTGGCTTTGCAGCCATCCACCATCAGGGGGAGTCCGTGGTATGGTGGTTCCCAGCCAGCTCTGCTGCAGGGTGGCCCAACAGGGTGATGCTGAGCTGGTGTTGGGCTGGGAAAACAGCCTTTTCAGGGCTTTGTGTGCTGGTTTGAGCTTCGTTGCTCCCCTTAGCAGCTCTGCTGGACAACCAGACTATAGAGGTGGAAACTTGCCGTTGTGTCTCAAGGAAGCTGAAGCAGAAGTTGTGCCGGTGGGCTGCTCTCCTCTCCAAGAGGCAAAGGTTAAGTCCCTTGGTTCACAGAAACACGATGGTTACAAACCATGGCTTCAGCAAGTGAGTGCTGAAAGCTTTATTTCCATTGACCCGCTTCGTCTTTTGTAGCAAAGTCAATTTTGTATCAACACCATCTGAGTGTGGAGGCTTGAAATCTCCAGTGTGTGTCTGCAGCCCGAGCAGGACGTGGAATTGGCGGGGATGTGAAGTGATTGCTCTCGTGTGGGCGCCCCAGCCCCACGGAGGATGCTCTGACTGCATGCACAGGTGTGTTAGCGACTCCAGCCTGGGAAGGCTGAGCTTTCTGCATGCAGTTTGGCTAAGGAAAGCAAAGACAATGCTAAACAGACACAATCCTGAAACTCCTCTATATGTAGCATATGTGGCTGACTTGAAGCTCGGAGAACTAGCCAAAACTGTGTAAATGGCAAATTCTACTTTTCAGATTCTATTTTTTTCCCCCTCTTTTCCTTGGTTTTGTGCACTTAACAGAAGACCATCGGGTAGCTTGCTTCAGTGAGACTTGCTTCTTTGCTCTGTTTCCAGAGAGATGGAAAGTGACAGCCAAATATTCTTTAGACACTTAGATGTGACTCGGAGGGACCAGAAATCGATTTCACGTCGTGTTCCCTGCCAAGCCGTTTCCCAAGGAGGCTGCCTGCTGCCTGTGCCACTCGACTCAGACACTTAGTGGGGGTGGAAGCAAACAAACTGAGCTTCCCTTGCAGCTTGCCAGCTGTGCCAGGCTCCTGGGCTGACTCACGAGGCGGAGGTTTCCCGGATGACTAATGGCCGAGCAGGCATTGATTTCTGCCTGTCTAATGGGACGTGTCTTAAAGTCTCCAGCTTCCAGACTGGGTGGGGTGCCCGCCCTTTGAACATCAGCTCCATGTATTGTGCATGGAGTTGGCTGCTCCAAAAAAGAAACCGTAACCTTGGGATCAGGTAACTGTGTCAACGGCAGGCTCCGGGCTGCCAAAACTCATGCAAAGTGCTGAGGCAGCTGCCAGAGCTGCCCTCGTGTGCTCCTGTGCTTCACCAGTGACAGGAGCAGGGCCTGAATTGCAAGCTAGACCTTCCAAAGCCTTGTGTCCTCGTCGGAGGGGTTAATGCAGTCCCCTAAATGGTGTTTCATTTCCTGTGAGGATGGTATTTGCTCTCCTGTTGCCACCTTCCTGCTCCTGATGAGCACACAACGTGTCCCCACGGTTAGGCCTGGCCATGTAATGAGGCCTGAGGTTGTTCTGGGTCAGCAGCTCCGTGCCAGCTCCACGGGAGACCTGAGCAGACCTGAAGGCTTTTGTGAAGACACGAGCACAGCGATGTTGTATGTTATCTTTCATCGTGGCTGTGACTTTATTCTTAACTCCGTGTCACAGAAGGTAATTAGACAATTTCTGGCATGGGCCTTGCTGTTGAGCACCCAGCTCATAGGAGTTGCTCCACACCTGATCCAGGCTCCACACCTGATCCAGGTTGAGGCCTTCAACCAATACAGGACTTGGGAAAGCCCAGGTTTGGCTTGTAAACCTGACAAGTACATCCTCAGCTCTGCACGAAGTGAGTTACCTCCCCTACAGAGCACCCACTAGGTGTGAGGAGACTTTGGGTTATTTTGGGCCTGTCTTGTGTTCTGCTTCATCAGTTTCTGAAATCAGCCCTGTGAGTGCCCAGCACCATGTGTGTGTCATTTCCCTGCCCTGTGGTAACAGCCACCAGCACAGACATCCCATGGCACCCCTGCTGCCCTCCGTTCCAGAGGCCACGCTTGGCTGCTGTGGACCTGGTGGCCATCCACATCATGTCCTGGAAGACGTGATGCTCCTCAGCCCCAGTGACCTG